AAGTTATGGAAAGGAACAGGTAAATTGACATTATTCTTGCAGTTACCCAACGGTCAGAATTTGCCAGTCACTGGTATTTTGCCCCTGGTGCCCAGTGAAGCAATATAATAATGAAGCCTTGGCTATGTCTGTATCTACCCAACAGACCCTCAATGAAATGCAGAAACCAGTGTGGTTGCATTCCTTCATCAGCACTGGGGAGGTCATTCCTTGAATGTGATTGCTAGGGATGACAGGTGGTGGACAGTGTATTATTAGCACAACCTGTATGTTGCCAGAGCTGCAAGGATGGGTGAAAATTAGGACGCCCCAGGGTCTGTGGTCCTCAGGCGGATTGGCAGCTGAGGAAAAGATGTGGTTCCCAGAAGGGGGAACATGCAGATGTTTCCCAAAAGAGGGAAGCCAGTACATCCAAGTGGGGCTTGGTGGAAATAATCTGTCCAAACCAACCACCAAGAAAGGTAGGGGAGGAGTAGGATTATTCCTGTGACCTCTGGGCTATGTTGGCTCAAGTGGTCTACAAATTCCCTGTGAGGTCCGGCACACCCCGGTGCTGCCTCTGTGCTGCAAACCTATGGAGATAACTGTTTGATGAAACTTTCAAAGGAGAGGACCCACACACAGCCAGCTCCTCAGCCATGCACAGGGCTGGTGCCCAAGCTCACTCTTCCACCTCCTGAACACACGTACAGCAGGGTAGTTTCAGGCCTGGAGTAGATGGCTTACTGACTATCATACCTGTAAAGATGGATGTCAAAAGTGTAATTGGTGAGGGTGCATGCCCAGACATTGGGTTAAGTGGGGCTGGATCAGTGCCCCAGTGTGGAATTGGGGAAACTGAGCACAGATGCCAGAGCTGCAGATGAAATCCCAGCTAGAGACAAGGAAACTGAAGAAGAAGAGGAGAGGATGGAAAACTCCACCTCCCCGAGATAGACTTCTGATAAGATGTACAGCCTGAGCCTCTTTAAGATCTAGTACCACCCTCCCCGCCCCCCAACCCCTGGATCTAGCCAAGAACACAGTTTAGTTAGTGGTAGGAACTTATTTTATCCATGGAGCTGTCACAAAGCTACTGCTTTGCAAGGGAGGTTATAAAATGGAAGTTTGACTCTTGGGAAATTTTGCAATTGATGAAGAAAGAAATAGTTATGAAAACAAAGGAGGTAAGAAGTGGAACTGGCCTTACACAAGTAAAGTATTGCCTTCTTTTTAAGGGATTTAGAAAAGATCTACATCTAATTTTCAGCTATGCCTCTCACTTCCTTTATTACCCTGGACATTTCTCTTCATCATTCTGGGCCTCAGCGTCCCAAATATAAAATGCAGATAATCCTGCATTACACTGTGGGAGGAACAGATACATAGTAAACAAAGCTTTTGAAATATAGAACAAGAAAATATTTTTTTGTAATAACTTTCCTTAACTTGTAGCCTCCATCGCATAGCTGAGCCCTGTAAAACCCATAGTGTGATGTCACTGGCCACATCTACACGAGATGCTTAATGTTCAGTAGCCTCACGACACTGCATAGTGGTGCATCACAGCATGGGCAGTGCTAATACATAAATATGCAGTATTATTAAGCTACTGTGCAGTAGCATCATTAAAATGGCATTCACCTGACACTACTGCGCAGTAACTGTAGTTTTTGCACATTTACTTAGTACTGTATTAAGTAAGTACTAAATTAAATGCACAGTAACTACTGGACATTAATGAATGTACAGCTGCAGCCACTGAGGCTGAAGCATGAGAGCAAAACTGGCAGGATTCTTTTCCCAATTAGAGATTGGTTGAACTGGGGGTGTCCCCACTAAGCATTTTGCCTCAATGCTTTACAGAAACAGGAAGTCATTACTCTAATAAACTAGGCCTAGGTCAAGGAAACCCCTTTCTAGAAGAGGCAAAGTGCTTGGCCAGCCTTAAACAGAAGGAAAGAGAGAGACTATTCACCCACAGCCAGAGAGGATTTTTCCAAAACTGGTATGAACCAACACCCATCTGACTACAGGTAAGTGGAGTGGGCACGGGGTAGGACGGTGGCTCCCAAACAAAGGGTGATAGCACTTATGAGTGTAGTCACAGCATGGGCGACTGGTGCCACCTTAGTCAGGAGGGGCACATGCCCCCCCAGTCACCAGTCAGAGACCGGGGGAGGTCCCCCCACGGCCAATCTCACTGACCAGTAAGGGAGTCCCCCTGCAGCTGATCGCACCGACTAGGAAGCGGTTGGGGCGCTCCCAGAAGCGGCCGCAGCACTCCAAGAAGTGGCCATGGGGCTTCATTTGGTGCTCCCACTGCCCAGCCAGCGCTCATGGGTGGGCACCAGAACTCCCACCTTCCCCCCTGCCCGTCGCCAAAGCGGAGAGCACGGCCTGTCAGTGGGTGCACCAGCAGTCTCCGGGGGTGCACGTGCTACGCAGTGCCATTGGGTCGCAGCTCCCACAGAAATTCAATTACCCCAGATGGGCTTGGCCTGTAAGCAAGGTTGGTTGTAAGGGAGCATGACAGATAGATAGATATAGTGGTATTTTATTTTAATCCTGGAAAATTGTGGATTTGGGTTTACTTTTTTTCAACCAAAAATTGGGGATTTTTTTAAATTAGAGAAAACGAGGATCCCTGCTCATTAGCTACTATCCAGGGTACATGGCCTCAAATCCATGAAAACAGTGCATAGAAAGTGAGTCCTCAGACAAGAGGGTGAAGACCAGGCAGAAGCCTTGTGTGCTCTTTCCAATCCCCACTATTTATGGAAGAAGTGACCCCCTGCATCCCTAGGAAGGATCCTGAAGAGAAGAAGAAGTAAACACTGGCCATTAGCTATGCAGCCAGAGTCTGCCGCTGTTGGAAAGCCTGCTGCCATTCTGCTACTGTCAGAAAGACTGGCCTCAGCAATAAGCTCTATCACCAGATATTTTTTTGCCTTGTCCCAGTAACTATAAATCACATCCCTGAATCACAGGATTAATACATTAATCATCATCATCATCATCCTTCTCATTCTCATCATCATTACCATCACCACTAGACCACAAAGCAGGAGAGTTCGGAGTTTTTGTTTTAATTTGTAACTCCTTTGCCTAAGACAAAAGATCCCCATTGCTCCATGCGTCAATCATTTGTATGTGTGCACATGTAGAATGCATTCACCTTGGGAACAGCTTCAGTAATAATGCCTTAAATCCAAAGCCTATTTCTGCCCCTGATGATAAACCAGTCTCCCCTGTTAGTAAACATGTTGTAAAACCTGCCACTGTGCAGAAAGGAAGCAGTTGACATGCATTGATAAACTTTTTTTTAAAGAAATACAGTTGAGTAAAACTTGCAGTTTGCTTCTATGTGGGTTGGGGAAGAGAAAATATTGCTTCCCATAGCAGTGGGTTTCAAGGAGGAGCCTTGAATTAGCATTAAGTTGGTAACCCAAAGAGAAATCACAGTTTGTTTTCTATGTCTCTTTAGCACGTGCTAAATTTGATATTTCACTTCCATTAGCAAGTTCTCTTGGATGGGACTTTAAACTAAACCTGGCAGCTACCTCCTTTACCATCCCAATATAAGAACAATAGTAAGTGATTCTATGTTGAACTGGCATCAAATACTTTATTAATTGTTATTTAAATCAGTGAATGCATTCATCCAATATACTTGTTAATTCATTAATAAAAAATGACAATTGCATTATTTAATATTAGCTAGCTCAGAAAAAATGTATAGTTGTTTTTGTAGTGGTGATATAATTCATTTTTAGCTTTGCTTGTTTATTCCTTCCAATAAAGCCCATAAAAAGAAGGCTGATGTTGAGTTTTAGGTTCCTCTCCCCCAAATAGATTCATGGGTGCAACCTCAAGAACTCTGCAAAGTCTCTCTCACTTGAGAATCTGCCTGGTTCTAACTGAATAAAACTTTTAGTCACTAGGGACACGTCCAGACGAACGCACACATGCATCTCCCTGGGGACAAACAGCAG